TCATCCATCCATCCATCCATCCATCCATCCTCCACCCATCCATCCAGCCAGCCATCCATCTTTCATCATCCATCCATCCATCCATCCATCCATCCTCCACCCATCCATCCAGCCAGCCATCCATCTTTCATCATCCATCCATCCATCCATCCATCCATCCATCCATTCATCCATCCATCCATCCATCCACCCATCTGCCCAACCATCCATCCATCCATCCATCCATCCATCCATCCATGGACAGGACAGGTTTCCATCGTAGACAAATGAGAAACAACATGTAAACCCCACACCGATGTAAGAAATACGTGTTTTAATATCGGCTGAAATCAAATGAAAACACAAGTGTTAAATAAAATGATCTGCGATAGGAAATAATGTCATACAACACCAGAATTCTGGAGTGGGGTTTTATTATGCCAAGGACTGACAAGTCAAAACCACACACTGAATAAACAACCAGGAAGTTCCCTTGTAAATACAGTCCAGAAATCTTCAATGCCTGAGTTCGCCCCCTGCTGGCCTATGGCTGAATCCCAGGCATTCAGACAAACAATCTTCACTCTTATGTAATTACAGCTTTAAAAAATATGTGTTGTTTAATGATTCAGACATGTATCTACTCTATTTCAATTAACACACAATAGATAACCATAACAATGTTATAATCAGACACCCTTATATACACTGGTGTTGTTTCTGGCATCAGTACTGATCTGTAATAATCATAAATTTCTTCACAGAGAAGAAGTGATCCTGTGACCTTCTTGCTGAGGTAAAAATCAATAAGTCCCTAAATGGGACATCGGTTTAGAAACACCTTTTGGAACATCATTCCTTGCTGATACAATCAGATGTTCATGTACTTTTAAGGAGTTTTTGTTTCTGAAACAGATGCAGATGTGTTTGTTATAAATGACTTCATGTAAATTGTGCAATAAGGACAGCAGAGTTTTGTTGTCTTCCGACTTTAAAACAGTGTAGCTGGATAAAGTTGATGGATGTGTTTGCATCAACATGTGTGTAAGTTTGAGGGCAGTGCGACATCTAACTATGACAACTGCAAGCATGTTAATGATGTCAGTAATCAAAGTTCTGATACAGCACAGGAACCTGAGATCTCTGCTGAGGGGCAGAGGAAGAGAGGGGTAATAAGAAGAATAGAAGACATGCAGGTGAGGGGAGTGTGGTAGGTACCATAAAATACATAAAACAAACAAAAAATCAAACACAAGGAATTGAAGAAATTTATTGAGGTTTATTTACTTACTGATTTATAAAAGCTCCAAACATTCTGTAGTTTTTTATTAGGTGAAACGTGATATAGTGTTATAAACTATTGTGTGCTTTTTTCTGTGATTACATTGATGATTTTATGTACATACTGGTCTGGATGGCTAGACGATATGGACACCCAGAGCAGGACGTATGTAAGTAACATGCCTGAACACATATTCAAATGTAAAAGAAACACTAGCTGGAAAGGAATTATGTTGAGAGGATTTGATCCTGAAGCAGGACAGAGCCCCCCATAGAAATGAATACATAGAAGCCTCGTTGTCTGTCGGTCCGCTGCTGTGATGAGCTGTACGTCCGCCATATTGGAGGTGTCACCGCTGCTCTGTGAACTACTACAAATGAATGGACTTTGTTCCATAAAGCACATTTTAACAGAGATTTACTTTAATATGGCATCATTTATTCAAACACACACACATGCACACACACACACACACTCACACACAATTTGAGAAAAACAGGTACCAAAAACAATGTATTAAAACTTCTTACAGAACAACAAAATACAACTTTATTGATCCCACACACAATTAATTTATGTTTKATAAGCTGTAAAGGTAAAGTAGTGTAAAAATCAATTTATGTTACACTTTGTATTTTTATATGAATTGTAATGAATGAATTTAGGAAACCTATACAGAATAAAAAAAGCTAAACACACAGAAACAACAGTCTAACAAAACGTTTGACTGAACTAATTTATTCATTCGTTATTTTATCTTCTGAATATGGGATACAGTTGGTAATAAAAACTTTCTTATAAGCTTAAACTTTTGACAGTTTCATTCTGACCAGAT